GCAGAAGAATATAGCCGGCAGATTGTGAAGGACTGGGACAATGGCAGATGACGGAAAAACCAAAGTCGAGAAGTTTGATGGACAATATTTTGGATGGTGGAAGATGCAAATTGAGGATTTGTTGTGTCAGAAGGACTTGGATCAAGCCTTGACAGGGAAAAGACCAGAAAAGATGAGTGAGATGATGAATGGGCTGCTCTGGACAGGAAAGCTTTGGCTGTTATCAGATTTACCCTAGCCAAGAGTGTGGCGTTTAACATCTTGAAGGAGACTACTGCATGTGGTTTGATGAAGGCTTTGTCAAACATGTATGAGAAACCATCGGCATCAAACAAGGTATTTCTGATAAGACAGCTAGTAAACACCAGAATGAAAGAAGGTGCATCCGTTACCTCACACATTAATGAGTTTAATACTATCATATCCCGTTTACTATCTGTTGATATTAAGTTTGAAGATGAAGTCCAAGCTTTATTCTTGTTATCCTCGTTACCAGAAAGTTGGTCAGGAACAGTCACTGTGATTAGCGGTTCAACTGGAACCTCTAAACTCACATTTGAGGGCATTCGTGACATTATCCTAGGAGAGGATATAAGAAGGAGGAGTTCTGGAGAATCTTCTAGTACTTTGTTAAGTACTGAAGGGAGAGGTAGAAACAAAGAGAAGGGAAATGGCAGAGGGAGATCAAAGTCTAGAAAGAGGAGCCAGTCAAAACCGAGAAAAGATATTCAATGCTGGAACTGCAAAGAAACTGGGCATTTCAGAAATCAATGCCCTAAATCTTCAGAAAGGAAGGAAGTAAATGCAGCCACTGACAATTCAGATGATGCCCTTATCTGTTGTGTTGAAAACTCAACAGAAACGTGGATTATGGATTCTGGTGCATCATTTCATGCTACTTTCATCACGAAGGCGATGAAGAATCTACGAACACGTAATTTTGGTAAAGTTCGTTTGGCTAATAACGACTCTCTTGACATCACAGGGATGGGTGACTTAGGCTTAAAGACTTCATTGGGCACCACTTGGACATTGAAAGACGTTCGGGTCATTCCAAGCCTTAAGAAGATGCTGATTTCTATTGGGCAGTTGGATGATAGGGATTTGATGTTACTTTTGGTGAAGGACAATGGAAAGTTGTCAGTGGGAATCTTGTAATCGCCAGAGGCAAAAAGAGGGGCACTTTATATATGGTTGAAGCTCCTGATGATGAGATGAATGCAGTGACCTGCGGGGTGAATGCATCCAGTTTGTGGCATCAACGGCTAGGCCACATGAGTGAAAAGGGAATGAAGATGCTCGTTGCAAGGGGGAAACTTCCAAATTTGAAAAAGGTGGATTCTGAGTTCTGTGAGCCTTGTGTACTTGGCAAGAAAAAGAAGGTTTCTTTTGTGATGACAGGTCAGACACCGAAAACTCATAAGCTGGAGCTAGTTCACACGGATGTGTTTGGGCCAACACCAGTCTCTTCCCTGGGAGGATCAAGCTACTATGTGGCCTTCATTGATGACTCAACACGCAAGGTATGGGTCTACTTTCTTAAAAATAAGTTTGAAGTTTTCAATATTTTTAAGAAGTGGAAAACTGATGTTGAATTGGAAACTAATCTGAAGGTAAAGTGCTTGAAATCGGACAATGGTGGTGAATACATTAGCACGGAGTTTATTGATTACTGTGCTGAACATGACATTCGGATGATAAAGACGGTTCCAGGCACTCCTCAATAGAACAAAGTGGCAGAAAGGATGAACAGAACAATGAATGAAAGGGCCCGAAGTATGAGACTTAATGCTGGGCTTCCAAAGACGTTCTGGGCTGATGCAGTGAACACCGCCGCTTATCTTATCAACCGGGGGCCATCCGTACCATTGGGTTTCAAGATACCAGAGGAAGAGTGGAAAGGAGAAGCAGTAAAGTATGGGCATTTAAAGGTATTTGGATGTAGCGCTTATGATCTTATCAAAGATGGTGACAAGTTAGATGCTAAAGCCAAGAAATACACTTTCATTGGATACGGGGGAGACAACATGGGTTATCGACTTTGGGACATTGAAAGTAGAAAGGTAGTCATAAGTAAACATGCTACATTCAACGAGGCTGAACTTTATAAAGACAGAAGCACAGAAAACTCAAAGATTCAGAAAGAGCAGGTTGAGTTTGAAAATGATGTCATCAGAAACAGAGAGTCTGAAGATACTCAAGACAGTGGGAGCTTGGAGAATGATTCCAGTACTAACGAGTCTGAGGATGATCACGAAAACTCTGAAAATTCGAAGGATGAAGGAGCACCTTCACCTGTGCAGCCGCAGCCAGTTGAAACACAGTGGGTCAGAAGATCCACTAGAGTCACTAAACCTCCAGAAAGATTCAGTCCTTCAGTCAATTATCTCCTTTTTGACTGAAAATGGAGAACCAGAAAGTTACTTCGAAGCAATAAAGCAGCATGATTCGTTTCAGTGGGAGCAGGCTATGAAAGAAGAAATGGATGTCTTACACAAGAATAAGACATGGGTTCTTACTAAGCTTCCGCCAGGTAAGAAGGCACTTCAAAATAAATGGGTATTCAGAATCAAGGATGAACCTGATGGGTCAAAACGGTACAAAGCCCGTTTAGTGGTCAAAGGTTTCCAGCAGAAAAAGGGAGTGGATTATAATGAGATTTTTTTCTCCAGTGGTTAGAATGACCACCATCAGATTGGTTCTAAGTATTGTAGCTGCAGAGGGCTTACATCTAGAGCAGCTAGATGTTATAAGAGAATTTCTACATGGTGATCTTGATAAGAATATATACATGGCACAGCCTGAAGGATATCAGGTTGTTGGAAAAGAAAATCTGGTCTGCAAACTAAAATGGAGCTTATATGGTCTAAAACAAGCACCAAGGCAGTGGTATCTGAAGTTTGATAACTTCATGATGAGGACAGGTTACAGAAGATGTGAGATGGACCATTTCTGTTAAGTGAAGAGGTTTAAGAGTTCATATATCATTCTACTTCTCTATGTAGATGATATGTTGATAGCTGGTGCAGATATGAAAGAGATCAGCACGTTAAAGAAACAAATGTCTCAAGAATTTGAAATGAAAGATTTGGGTCCAGCCAAACAGATTCTAGGGATGAGCATAGTCAGAAACAAGGAGAATGGTTCTTTAACACTATCCCAGGAAAAGTACATTGGGAAAGTGTTGGAGAAATTCAAAATGAATGGTGAGAAGACTAAACCAAGAAACACGCCTTTGGGAAGTCACTTCAAGCTTACCAAAGACCAGTCTCCGAGAACAGACGAAGATAAAGCAGAAATGGCTAAAGTTCCTTTTGCATCTGCAGTTGGTAGCCTCATGTATGCTATGGTGTGCACGAGACCAGATATTGCTCATGCAGTCGGGGTTGTTAGTCGCTTCATGTCAAAACCGGGGAGGGAACATTGGGAAGCAGTTAAATGGATACTTAGGTATTTGAAGGGTACTACAAAGATGGGGTTATGTTTCAGAGGAAAAGACGTGATTTTGAGAGGGTATTCTGATGCTGATTTGGGTGGATGCAAAGAGACATTTAAAAGCACAACGGGGTACATTTTCACAGTGGGAGGAACTGCAGTTAGTTGGATGTCCAAACTTCAGAAAAGTGTAGCTCATTCAACAACCGAAGCAGAGTACATGGCAGTTGCTAAGGCCAGTAAAGAGCTGACTTGGTTGAGGAACTTCCTTGACGAGTTAGACAAAAAGCAAGCAGATTACTCGTTACACTGTGATAATGAGAGTGCATTGAAACTTGCCAAGAATCTAGTCTATCATGGGAAAACAAAGCACATTGGGATGAGATATCACTTTGTCAGAGAGTTGATCAGTGGAGGAACAATGAACTTGAAGAACATCTCAGGTGCAAAGAATCCAGCACATATGTTCACTAAATCTGTGACGCTGGACAAGCTGAAGTTCTGTGTAACTTCAGCTGGCCTTCAAGAATAATGTTGAGAAGGCAGGTGGCAACTAGGAGGAGCTAAACACAGATGAAGTTTACAGAAGTACAGAGGAGTTGAGTGCAGTTGATCGTGTTTCGAAGCCTCCAAGTGGGAGATTGTTGGGCTATAGGCTTCGGCCCATTCAGATCTGGGAGCCAAATAAACAAAGAGCAGAGCCTGCTCTAGTTAAATGTGCAGGCAGCCCTTAGTTGGGCCTGTTTCTTTAGTGGCAGTCAGGCCCAGAACCTTATTAAGAGTTTTACCCTAATTGTTTGCCTATATATATTGACTCTTGTACTTCTAAACTATGACTTGTATCATTCATCATCTCAATAAGAAAGAAAACCCTAGTTGCATCCGTGGATTAGGTCAATAACACTTACTGGCTGAACCACGTTATATTCGTGTGCCGTTCTTCTCGTTCTTTTTCTAGTCTTTCAGATTCGTGCTTGTGTGAGATCTAACCCTAACAAATTCAAGAAACTTCAATTACAAATTACGAACAAAACAACATGAATGATATAATTCTTGTTTATGTAGAGAAAGACATCTTCTTGAAAATTGGCAATGATGTCAAAAATGTCATATCAAAAGATATCAGTCCACGAAAACCTGTAGAGAACAGTTGTAAAGTTGTACTCCCTCCGTCTCCCTATTATTGTCTCATTTCCTATTCACTTGGTCAACACAAATCATTCTTAATCTATCACTTTATTTATCAAATTTTTATCAAATTTGATTCTGGTTTTCGCGACTTTGTAAAACTTTTAATGTAGTTTTTGAATATGCGATTTTTTTTCTTCTAAAAATAATTCTAGTGCGGACAGAGATTTGTTTGCTTTATCGTCAGTCAAGCATCGTAAACCGCAATGGAATAATAACAGGGGGACGGAGGTAGTAGTATTTTTTGTGTTTGACTTTGACTAAAACTCTTATTCTGGTAATATTTATTCTTTTCTATGATTTTTTGTTTCAATAGATGTTCTTTTGTTGATTATATTACATTTTGACTTTTTGTGACAATATACGTAATTTAATTAATTTTTGGCCCCCTAAATGCATTTTTGCCCCCTTGAATGTCAGAGCTAGATCCGCCCCTGCAGACAGCGCCCGACTGCTCAATCAAAGTTTCAATGGCGGCTTCAACAGCTTTCTTCCGCACCTGCCCTCTCAACCTATACTCCATCAAACCCAACAAAGCTACTATTCTTGCCCAGTTCTCTTCCATCAAGGTTGCTTCATCTAACCGAAATTATCCATCTCAGCCCCTAATTTCCCACTACACGCCTTCCCAGTTTCACGGTCTTGTCACTCCTCTCCGATCTGCTTCCACCTCTGATGCATCCTCTGCTTCCGCCCCATCTACCACCTTCCATGGCCTCTGCTATGTTGTTGGAGACAACATTGACACTGATCAAATCATTCCTGCTGAATACCTGACCCTAGTCCCTTCCAAGCAGGAGGAATACAAAAAGCTCGGCTCGTACGCCCTATGCGGTCTCCCAGCTTCTTACCAAACTCGATTCATAGATCCTGGCGAATACAAATCCAAGTATTCAATTGTTATTGGGGGTGATAATTTCGGATGCGGGTCCTCCCGTGAGCATGCCCCTGTTGCCCTTGGCGCTGCCGGGGTTTCTGCTGTCGTTGCTGAGTCTTATGCCCGTATATTCTTTCGAAACTCGGTGTCTACAGGGGAAATCTATCCTGTGGAATGCGAGGTGAGGATATGCGAGGAGTGTAAGACTGGAGATGTGGTAACTCTTGAGCTTGGTGAGAGTAGATTGATCAACCATACTAGTGGAAAGGAATACAAGCTGAAACCCATTGGGGATGCTGGCCCTGTTATTGATGCTGGTGGGATTTTCGCCTACGCTAGGAAGACGGGGATGATCCCTTCCCTTGCGTAGAAAACTCAACCAGGTAAAATTTGTTCCTTTTTTCTTCTTTAAAGCTTTTTCACGCCTTAGTAAGGATGCTTTATTATAGTTAGATCGTACTCCGTATTTTTTATGGGTTGTAAGTAAATTAGAGGTTTATATTGCAGTGATTTTGATGTGAAAGGTAGCATTAATCAAGCGGGCTCTTAGAGAATCTGTGACTGAATTAATAAGTTGTTTCTCATAAAACAGAAATGATACATGGAGTATCATATATATACTACTATACTCCACACACCACTGCAAAAACCATTACCACGTGAACCAATGATCATGCACCCTGACTGAAGACTAATAAAAATGCAATGTCATAAACCTGCTTTGGTAATGCTCCATAGATAAATAAATCCTAATGAAATGTTTTCAAGAACTTTAGGGAATAGAAATATTGGAGTATCAATCAAACTAACTTGAGGCTTCAATCTAATAAAAAAATGTCCATAGAAATGTAAGATCAGGAAGGAAAAGAAAGGAGAAGAAAGAAACTATTGTGCATGGGTTTAGTTTTAGTCATGCTTCAGTACAGATAGAAAAGGGAGAAATAAGTGGTTGTGTAGAAAAAGTATGTAGTTGTAATTAGCATAATATACTTTTCCTTTAAGAAAATTCAGAAGAGGCAACCATTTCAGCCAAACAACCTTCACCATACAGGCTTATAACATCGTCCAGTTTTCTTGATTCTTGACTTCGAAAAAAGTGTGTGTGAAACATGACCCCTATCCTAGATTTTCTTCCTCAAACATCAGCATTTCTAAGCATTGCATATCATTTGATTTATGCTTCTATGTGTGGTTTGATGTATATGTATTTCAGTTTTGGATTCATTCACCTTCCATGATAGTATACATTCAAAACAAGCTTTGTTGGAGTTTTTCTGAAGTCTTATGGTGTTTGTAAATCCCATTTTGTAGATATACAAAATGTTAATTTTGTAAAGGTTAGAGATATGCAACATTGGTAATCTCCTTAATTTCTTAAAAGTCATGCCAAACCTAAATTAATCCAAGGAAGGATCATAGTACTATTGCTGCTTGTTTCAGAACTTCTTGCATAATGCTGTTTTCTTACGCATTTTACTTTAAAAAGGGCTACATCTTATACCTCATGGACTTCCTTTCTTAACCCATTGTCAAGCTTACGCTGTACAGCAGTCATCTTCACCTAATAGTATTTGCGTATATCCCGCAGTACAATTTTTGTAAGTGCGTGTTGATGTTTGTGCTATCTTTTGATTTATTGACTTTTAAACAATTTTTCATTTCACATAATTCTATTTTTACAAGGTTGTCGATTCCACCATCTAAAAGTGCTCTCTATCCCATTGGTATACTCATATACCTGTTTGTTAACACCTGAAATGAAATGTATTTTTTTTATTCCTCAAGCTCCCTAAATGTGCTTTGCTAAACCAGCATCTAGTTTCATATGTGAGTGAAAAAATGCATTGTTTATCGTTGAGTTTACCTACTTAATAGCACTTCTTTTATGCACACTTTTTGAAATTCGTCGCTAAATATGGTATTTAGGTCTAGAGAATAAATAATACTCTAAAAACATTTCTAGAAGGTTCAGAGTGAATTGAAACGTCCTGAGATATTTTTTGTGTGCCTTCATTTCACTATGGTTTGTGCAGGATTTTTTAGCGCTCTCAGCTTCCACTTAGACTAATGAGAGTAACTTCTATGATATTCTTGTGAAGAAGCTAGCTGTTATCCTACTCATAGCACTTCTTGATATGTCTAATAGTTGTTCAACAAAGCATTATTGTAAGGCTATGGTTTTCTTGCGGCAATCGATGAATGTTGTCCAACGATCATTACGATGTGCGCTAATTTAGATCATGTAGTGAACAATAAGTGCCTTGATTCCTAGCTGCATTGTCCTAGTATGTTGGCAGTATGATACATGTTTATGGCAGCAAAGCAGTGCACCCAAAGGAAAGGCAACATTATTTTTACTATTTCCTTGTTGAAGTCGCAATGTAGTGATCATTACGATGTGCGCTAATTTAGATCATGTAGTGAACAATAAGTGCCTTGTTTCCTAGCTGCATTGTCCTAGTATGTTGGCAGTATGATACATGTTATGGCAGCAAAGCAGTGCACCCAAAGGAAAGGCAACATTATTTTTACTATTTCCTTGTTGAAGTCGCAATGTAGTGATCAACAGCTTACCTTATTTGTTATTTAGTTTCTTAGAATAGCTAAAGTGATTACGGATGTTTTTTTTGGAACAAGGTTGCTTAAATTAATATCAAAGCATTCAACCAGGGAACAAGAAGATAAAAGGACCACTTCCAACCACCGACCCTTGAACCAGATTTAGAGCCAATCACCCTGGAAAAAGCAATGTGGCTCGTGGATCTTATAATGGGTCTAAATGAGCCTTACGTGATTATAATAGACCCCTCATCGCTCCAACCTAATGCAAGAGTCTGGCAGAAATAAAAATAAACAACGACAACAAAAATAGTATGATCAAAGCATAATACTGGAAATTCAGATGCACCCTTCGTTTCCCGAAGAAACTCCCATGTCCTGGAATGTCTGTAGAGCTCTAGGTGTGTCTTTAGAGCTCTAGGTGGGTCTGATAACCATGACCCACTCCCTCTCCGTTTTTTGGATGGTCCAGTACCATACAATATCCTCTTGTTGCTTCTTCTCTCCCACCCCTGTCATTCCTAGTTGAGAAGCCCTCTGCCCACAAGACCAGACAGCTTTCAAAAACTTTTCCTTCATGCGCACAGGTCCCTCCCACTATTGTTGCATCCAATCTGTTCCTACATTAGTCAAGCATCGCCTGAGCATCCACAATTGAGGAACAAAGGTCTCATCCATACAGCCCTTCTCAAAAAAACAAGTGTCAGAATCGCAATCGGCATGGACTAGGCCTACACCGAATTGGGTCTCCCATCCTCGGCGGAACTCTCCAACAGCGAATTTTTTTCCCGGATTAATGCTAATTAATTAAATAATTAGGGAATTAATGTTGGGTTAAAACTATTTTCCAACGAGATATAATACACCCAAAACGGATAAACACACAGCAGGATATGAGTGTCACAAATACTTAGTCTTATCTAGGGATGGACTCGAATCCAGGTCGGGTCCCGGGCCGGCGGTTCAGAAATGGTGGACCCGGGAGCGGCCCGGGTAACCACCGGGTCCGGTTCGGGCCGGGCCCATTATCATTTTTTTTTTCCTCTTCCTAATCAACCCCCCTCCCACCCCCAACCCCCCAAACCACCCCAAATGGCCCAAAATACCCAGCCCAACCCGAAAATTTAAAAAAATTGAAAAAAAAAGTTGTTGGCCCGAATCGGGCCTGGGCCCGACCGGGTCGGGCCTTGTTTTGGGTGACCCGAGCCCGGACCGGAAAACCCACGGGCCGGGCCTACCCGGACCGGTCACTGACCGGGCCACCGGGTCGGGCCGGGCCGGAACAGTACCGGTCCTGGGCCGGTTCCGGGTCGGGCCACCTGGCCCGAGTCCATCCCTAGTCTTATCTCTATGGCGAAAATAGAGCACTTTTAGCGTAAATACAGTGTATTTTAGTAATTAGGCAATCATCCCTTGATATTTTGAAACCAGCGCCTGAAGACAAGTTTGAGAACTCGGTAAGGTCTTTCAAACGAGATATTAAACGCTTTCAACGGAACAAAATAGAGCAAGATATGATCGCATCAAATTCTACACGAGTTCGGAGTGAAATCAGAAACATTTGTGAATATATGGTTAATCTGTAACTTTTAATTAATGCATTGTAAATGAAGTTGGAACAATAGCTTTAGAGCTCCGATCAATCTTTCCAACGAGATACAATACGCTCCAAATGGATAAACACAGAGCAAGATATGAGTGTCATAAATACTTAGCCTTATCTCTATGATTTAGCGTTTTCAGCGAAAATAGAGCACTTTTAGCCTAAATACAGTGTATTTTAGTAATTAGGCAATCATCCCTTGATATTTTGAAACCAGCGCCAGAAGACAAGTTTTAGAACTTGGTAAGATCTTTCCAACGAGATATTAAACGCTTTCAACGGCACAAAATAGAGCAAGATATGATCACATCAAATTCTACACGAGTTCGGGGTGAAATCAGAAACATTTGTGAATATATGGTTAATCTGTAACTTTTAATTAATGCATTGTAAATGAAGTTGGAACAATAGCTTTAGAGCTCCGATCTATATTTCCAACGAGATATAGTACGCTCCAAACGGATACACACACAACAAGATATGATCATATGAGTGTCACAAATACTTAGCCTTATATGTATGATTTATCGTTTTCAGCGAAAATAGAGCACTTTTAGCGTAAATACAATGTATTTTAGTAAGTAGGCAATCATCTTTTGATATTTTGAAACCAGCGCCTGAAGACGAGTTTTAGAACTCGGTAAGATCTTTCCAACAAGATATTAAACGCTTTCAACGGCACAAAATAGAGCATGATAAGATCGCATCAAATTCTACACAAGTTCGGAGTGAAATCAGAAACATTTATGAATATATGGTTAATCTGTAACTTTCAATTAATGCATTGTAAATGAAGTTGGAACAATAGCTTTAGAGCTCCGATCTATCTTTCTAACGAGATATAATAAATCTCCATCCGGTTTGGTGACTTTCCCCTTCCCAAATAGCACCGGTCTGGGCCCAACCGAGGCCGGTCGGTGGCGCACCGGTGGCGAAAAATTGCGTTTTTCAGCCTAAATCGATCCCGATTATCGTAATTCACCGTTTGACGACTTATGATTTGTGCTAATTATTATATGTGATTTGTATTTAAGAGTAGTTAATTTAGTACAAGAATATACAGAGTATGTCATAATATGACGCTTACTCATTTGGACCTTAATTGATCATACACAAACCCAGTTCAAACCTAGCATTTCAAAAACCTCACTCAAGCCGTATATATTCGGTCTCTAATTTTTTTTATTCGGTCTCTAATTTTAATAATCCAAAACTTTAAGATTAATTTTTTAGATTTAGCTAAAATTGGATCCAAATAAAAGAGATTTCATCTCTACCTGAAATTCAGAGCCCGTTTGGTAACACAAAAATTGGCTGATTCGGTTGATTCTATTGAAATTTATGAAGTTCTGACTGAAGTCGCTTCATTGGCTGATTCTGATGAACGCAATTTTTCACCACCGGGGCAACCTCGACCGGCCCCGGTTGGGCCCAGACCGGCGCTATTTGGGAAGGGAAAAGTCGCCAAACGGTTTGGCGACTTTCCCCGACCAGAGTTAAGCCCATCAATATATTGGTAAATAGTTTTAACCCAACATTAATTCTGTAATTATTTAATTAATTAGCATTAATCTGAAAAAAAAACTCTCCAACAGCCGCCCACCTTGTACCATCACCGGGTAACCCGATCCTTGTCGTCCATCCGGCCTCCCCTAGCAGACATACCGTCCATACCGCAGAGCAGGTAATCCTCGGCAAGTACACCCCACGTCTGGACCGCCAACGCAACCCAGGCTCTCCCGCCGATGTAAATCCGACTCCAAAAACAGGAGACCACATCGTAGAAACAATCGAATCTCTGAAGAAATCAAAATCCAAGCGACAAAACCCGCACCAACTTCCGCCGAAGCTAGGCGGCGGAAAAGCAAACCCTATGGGAGAGGGAGATGACCGCTTCATGTTCGATTACGGATGTTATTAATTAGATTTATTTCAATCCCGGATAAGATTAGAATATAAAATAACATTCCAATTATAAACATCATAATTAGTGTACCACCGGGTCTCAACACTGGCATTTTCCTTGGTAGGAAGTAGGGATCCAAGGAGGGTGAGCTGTAATGGTGTATACCAACTTCATGTCATGCATATTGCAACTTTTCCCAAGTCCCATAGGTACATGGTGGTAACAATGATTGTACGGTTCCTATTGCAATCTATGGGGGTTTTTGGTAAAATGAGAAGTAATTATGTTTCAAAAATGATAGGTGCACACAAAATGAGTATGCTTTTGGCACACCCATATAAGGGTTCAATTATTTTTTTACCTCCCTAGGGGGTGGATTGGTCCGGGACCGGACCCGCTACTGTGTGGGATCAGATTGGGTCTGGTTTCTGGTCTCAGGTCAAAACTAGGCAACCCGACTAGGTACAACTGTACAAGTGTTTACATTATCGGTCCCGGGATCAATATTTTGAGACTGAATTGGACGGTTCCTAAAACCTAAACCTTGACCCTAAACTTTGAACTCTCCCCTCTTTTCATATGAAAACGCTACAGCCTCCGTTCTTTTATCCTTTTTCTTTCATCTTCATTTTCTTTCCTTCTCACGTTTTCCTTCTCTCTATCCATATATATCTTCTCTTCTATTCATACCCCATAGCCATGGACTGGTTCCGGGCCGGTCCTGGGCGGACTTTATTTTTGTTGGGGGAAGGCCCGGAATCGACCCGGAATCGGCCCGGATTTCCACCGGGTTCAGGCCGGTCCTATTTTTTTGGGCTTTTCTAATTAACCCCTGCCCCCCCCCCCCCCCCCCCCCAAACACCCAGCCCATCTAGGGAAAACAAAAAAATTGAAAAAACAAAAAAAGGCCCGAATCGGGCCCTGCCCGGCTGGACTGGTTCCAAAGGAAGGTCATCCCAGAACCGCTCCGCCCTAACTCCCCGGGCCGGTCCTAGGCCCGGAACCGATACCTGACTCCCGGGTCGGTCCGAGCCCACACAGTAGCGGGCCGGTCCGGTACCGGTCCAACACTAATACCCCATCACCCCATCATCGCTATCACTTCACCTCTGTCGCCTTCTAGGATTGGAAAACCAAATAAGGTATTTCATAAGTGATCAACCGATTTTCCCAGTAAATCGCTTAAATGGAAGTCAAGTTAACTTTCTTTACTATTTTCTGTTTTTTATTCTGTATGTTCTTCCTTTCATTTTTCCTTTTTCTCTTTCTTCCTTTGTTTTCTCCTATAAGAGCATGTGAACTCAACCCCACAAGGCCACAATTATACATTAAAAATAAACACGAAACTAATTCTTCAATTCAACTGTATTTATAGTTTTCCCTTTTCATATTAGTCACAGGTTTGATTAAATACGTAGTATTTGAGAATATTCGTCTCAGTCAAATTCATTCATAATTCATACTTCCTCCGTTCTTAAATAAATGCAACGGTCAACATTTCACACTTGTCGAGACACAACTTTGACCATTAATATAAATGATTTTGTATTAGTAAAAAAATTAAAAAAATTAGATTATGAAATTTACAATGAGACAAGTTTAACAATATTTTTTTCATAAAATAATATTATTACATTAATAAATAAAAAGTAGTCAAAGTAGAACATGTGAAGTGTAAAA